CATGATCGATAGTCAATCAGTAAATGAAGGTTTCAAAATAAATCAGCCAGTCGAAAATAGCTGTACTACAATTGGTAAAGTGTAGAAAAGGCTATGGTATACTATTGGTCGATTTGTAGGGAGGCACCCTGTGTATATAATACATATATCCTCCTTGTACCTGGGTACAACAATCCCAATGGGGTACTACACCTAGCCAAGTACTCTTGCAATATTCTCATGGCTCGAGTGAACCCAAAGGACTTCCTCGAAAAAGAGAAAGCCTCGAAATTATTTTGAACCATGTTGACTCGAGTAATGCACTTCTCATGAAAGGTAATGATAAAATATCCATAGTGAGCAACTGTAAATGTGAAATAAACCGATTGGTAATTAGCAGGAAATATTTTCTTTAATTTTCAAAGAAAGTGGTAATTGACAATAAAAAATTTCTGCAATTTTCACAGAAAGAAGTAGTTAGTGGTACATATTTTTGTCAGTAAACAAAAAAAAATTACGAAAAATGGTAAATTATTTCTCTTAATTTCCAAATTAAATGGTAACGTTTTTTCCTAACTTCAAAATTTAACTTTGAAAATAGTTAGTTTAGCTCTTTCTTTTTACTAATTTATTTTCCTCTGCAAGACTAAAATTAACTCTTTTAAACATAAAATAAATTATAGGATTAATATTGTATTATACAATTATAAATAAGGTCTGTTTCTCTTTTTCTTAACCCTACAATTGAAGCTTAAATTTAATTCTAGTCTATAATAATCGGCAATTAAAAGTGACTGAGTAGCCCGGTAAGCGTGATAATTAAGACGTAACAAATTCAGAGAGACATCAGACGAAGAAAACCGACATGGCTAAAGGCCGACCTGATTTCCAACGTCCCCGGTCCAAAGGATGCCATCAACAATGCGACTTCATTTGACTCGGAAGAGGGGTCCATTGACTAATGAGGTTAAGAGCGAGACTAGACGATGCATTGACTCGAATATTGAGTAAACGGGGTAACGATGTATTAAAAAGGCCACGCTACTGTTTGTCAGTCGTTACTTATGACAACTAATTACTCGACAGTTCCTATAATATGTACTTTTTAACTTTAAAACAGGAAAATGCAAAGGAAATAGCCATGAAAAATGATGGAATCTAAAATGTAAATAATACTTTTTTTTTTTGAGGTTATTAATTCCTCTTACAGAATCCAATATTGGACTAAATTAACTATTCTCAGCAACACGACTACTCATCATCTGGACATTCAATGTCTAAATTTTGAGACCTTTTTAAGTTATTTAACGCACACTACGTTCATCAAATTATAAAATAAATCGAAGAAAACAAATTTTGTAAAGAATATTAAAATATTTTTCTATTGAAAATTATATATTTCTTAATTATTTAT